GATGATCTTATTGCTTCAGTGTAGTTGGGTTTTCAGAATTTTCTTATCAAGTCCCTTCATTAGAGGCTCTTTAATTACACCTTGGTTTGGGAGGTGTATGGGGAGAGGTTATCTTGTGCTTTAATATCTGACTGATAAAGGAGACAAAAGCTTTTGCTTTTTTACTGGATCGTTCACCAAATAGGAATGGAAAGTAATTGACCATAATTGTCACTTGGTTTCCCTGCTTCCTATCCACTCCTCCTTTCCTAATGCTCTTATGGATTTTAAAACATATCTGAAAAATGTGTAGTGGCTTCTGACTTTTGTGTGTCAGTGAAACTTGGAGTATCAGATAACACAGATGGAAAGGATTTTTTCATATTTTTATTTAAAAATCTCTGTCCTGTTGTGGATCTGAAAAAACTGAAATTCAGATGCTATTAGTTCTTCATCATAGTGTCCTTCAAGTTAAAAATTCCTTGATAGTTCTTAATTTCTGAAGTTGTTTCCACATAATTGTGGATCTGCAGTGCAGTAAGACCATGTCTTGCCTTGTACCTGTAATACAGGACTTGTAGGACAACTTAATCTCATGCCCCGTGAGTGTAGCTGAAGCCACCTCCTTTTCCAGTAAATCTCCTGATAAGCAGATAATGTTAAGCTAAGTTAGTGTTTAAATAAAACAAAAAAAAAAATCCCAAACCAACATTCTCACTTCTTGCATTTTACTCCTCATAGGTTCATGTTCTTCAAATAGCTTGTGTGAGCCATTGTAGGGCACGAATAAATAAAGCCACAACAGGGTTCCATTAGCTTTCGTGTATCGCTCCTTGATGAGTGTTGTATTTTGAAAAGGATATATTGCCAGGATGGGAATTAAGTTTTAGATCTGAAGAATTTCAGCTATAGCTGAAAATGTTTCTGTATGTGAATGATTTAGTACACAAGTTGTCCACAAGACTGGTCATCTACGTGGTGATACTGTAGTATGGTACAATCATCTCAAGTCATGTCTCTTTCAATATCTAGTTCTTTACCTCAGTGCATGTAGTTGTTTGTACCCTGAGGGAGTAATATTGTTGCCAGATCAAATGCTGCCATTGGTATATTCTTGGATTCCATAGCTGCACAGGATGATGGTGGTTTTCTGGTATAGGACTGGCTGCGAAATGGAAGGTCCTCATCTACCAGAGCGTTTAACTTTGGAAATCTCCAATCAGTCATAACCTTATTAAGAAAAAAAAATAACATTAAAACATTAAAAGACTCTGACTACAGTTACTAATTATTGCTTTTGAACTCCTCAGTTGATCGAGATAGTCAGGGAAATACATGTCTCCTTACTATGCTGTAAGGATTCTGTTGAGGCTTTTGAGGTGTCTCACTTCAAAACATTGATATATAGTGTCATATTTTACTTCTTTTCCATTATACCTCTGGCCCATTTTGTATTTCACATTTATCCTTTGTAATCAGCAAATTCCTTTTCCAAGTCCTTGACTGTATTTTTCTGAGGGGTATTTTTTTGTATATATACTAATGGTTAGCTTTTTTCCTTAGAGGTTGCAAGAATCTCCTTCTAAAATTATGTCAGTTGTTCTCTTACTCTTGTAGTAAGGATGTCAAGATTCATTGGAAACATGGATGGGGGAACAAAAAACTTGGCTTATATATAACTAGATTTCTAGGAAGGTGGATGTGGTATCTTCTAAAAGAACCAAAATGTTCAAGTCTGTTTTAAAAAAATCAAGGCTTTAAATGTTTTTCTTCTGTAAATTTTGTACTTTGTGTTTTAGCAGATTCCTTTGAAATGCTCAGAAGGAAATTACCATTGCAAGAGCCATTTTAATAAAAAAGATTTAATGAACTCTTTTCCTTTTTAAAAAAAAAAAACAAAACAAAAAATAAGGAGCACCGTTATCAGTCTTGGTTTTCTTGAATGACTCTTCATCACAACTGTAATAGAAGTCACTGTGGTGTGGATGCACATTGCACCCAAAGAATCGAGGTCTTCTGTCTAATCTGGGACATAACAACATGTGCTAAAATTAACCATTGCTATTTCAAATGTTTGGCTTCTGTTTTTCCAAGCCCCAGATCACTGCAAGTGCATGAGGCAACATGAGTTAGCAACATTACATAATGAGGATTAAAAATATCAAAGAACTCTGTTTGCTAGAAAAATACTCCTCTCCCCCCCTTCTTTTTTTTCCTTCTCTTATCCACTTTAGATTCAGGAAAGTTAATAAATATGCAGTTTGGACTGAACTCCACTCTGTTCCCTGAAACAAAAGATTATTCTTTTTATGAAGCTTCTATATATGGTAGGCAGTTTGGTGCTAAGTAACTTAAATCTCAACAAAAATATGGCAGTATTCAGTGTACTGTGAAGTTGGAAGACTGGAAACAAAACACTTTGTTATGTAATGTATTTGTTGGATGATATTTAAAAAAAAAAATCCAGGTTACATGTCTGGTACAACAAGTTTCTGTTGCTTGATCTGAATTTGGCATAGTTTGCACTTAGGCCAGAAATTTACATTAATATAAGGGAAAAGCAAATATCTGCATATCTGTAACTTAGAACAGTAAATTTTATTGTCTGAGCCTTTCTATTTATTTTGATTAGATAGAATCAAATTTAGTTTGAGTCATGGTAATTCAGTTGAGGATATAGATTTGGTCCAAGAATGCTTATTACAATGTATGTTACATTATGATCTGTTTTTTATTTTCAGTCCTGACAGATATAAGGTACTAAGATTTTATTAGCTATGGGAGATTTTAATCTCTTAATAGTGTTGCTGAAAGTATCTTGGGATACTGAGAGATTCTGGCCTACAGCTGAGAAACATGCTTTAAGAGTTACATGGTGAATAGATAATGTGTAAGGCAGAGGATAGGATTAGTTTCCATGCATTCTTAGTTTGCTGATTTTGGTCATCTAACTAAAGTCAGTTTTCTAAACTCCCTTTATAATTACTTGAGAGGAAGACACAAATCCTGCACGTGTGTTTCTCCTTATGATGGAGGATTAGGACAAGTGGGATGTAGTCTTTTAAGGGTCTACTCTCTGCATAATATAAATTGTATTCAAAGCTCTAAATTAGTGTCTTGCAGTCACTAGAAGAGTTTGAGGTTTTCTGGTAGCTTTTCTGAGTTACCTGTAATATTATAAGCAGCTGTAATTTTTCTGTTTTAGAGTAACAGTCTATAGGTTAAGAGTATGAATTGGATGTTCGTGATATATAAACTTAAAGCTTCACATATTAACTAAGTTATTGTCTCACGAATATATTGAAAACTCATTAAAGACTTTAAAAATACTTATATGTAATGTTATTAAAATAATGACAAATGTGTATTGAAATTCATATTACCCGTTTCTGTGTTCTTACCTTTACGTGTAGAAGTACTGCAGAATTACGTATGTTTCCTGTCACTCTCAGTCAAGTTACTCATCTGAGGAAGATCACTCACTAGGGACCTGTAGATCATTTTTATTGTGTTTAAGTGATAAATGAGCTTTTGACAGTTGTAATCTCTTCTTGGGTGCAGAGAACATAATAAGCACTTAAACCTTTATCTTTCTTAAGGGAAGAACTAAAGTATCATTGCACAAAAAGATTAAAACCAGGTTTTGAAAATCAGGGCTTCTTGTCTATATATTCAGCATCACACTCCATTACACTCTGGGACAAAAGAAACTGTTATAATAGAAAAATTTGCAGACTACGTTGCGTGCCAGAGAGGGAGTTACAGATGCATATAGACAGATCAATAGATAAACGCAAACTTAAGATGGAACATGTATTAGCTGAATCAAAAATAGTGTGTTTTCCCAAAATATGGGAGATATATATTATGCATATTTTTAAAGCCAAGATAAAGTTACTCTTTCCTTTTCTTTTTTCAAGCTGCCAGCTAATAAAGATGCCTTCCGGAAGACATGGAACCCTAAGTACACGCTACGCAGTCATTTTGATGGAGTGCGGGCATTAGCTTTTCATCCTGTAGAGCCTGTGCTGGTTACAGCCTCTGAGGATCATACTCTAAAACTTTGGAATTTGCAGAAAACGGTTCCTGCCAAAAAGCAAGTATACGGGTTTTTATAAAACATCAATTGTGTTTTAAATTGGTTAATTTCTTAAAATGTTTTCAGAGTTTTTTAGCAGAGATTTCATGTAGTGTAATAACTCTTCCTTTTTCTTTCAGGAGTGCCTCTTTAGATGTAGAACCCATCTACACGTTTAGGGCCCACATGTAAGTGTTTGACATAATTAATACTTGATAAATATATTGTCGTTGTCTCATGGATTTTTGAGACACTTCAGCTGAAATGCCACAAATGTATTCTAGTTTTACATTGTATATACAAGGTCCATTATACTTCGTAAAAACGGGTGAATACTGAGTCCCTGGCGTGAATTGTACAGGCCATGATAAAACAAGAATAGGAAGTGTCAGATGTGGTTAGTTGTAATGGAACAGAGAGATTGTAGAAGAGGACAATTAAATCATCTGAGTAATAGGTATGTCTTGGACTGTGAGTTTTATATATAATATATGAATAAGATAAATAAGGTAAGATCCCACTGAATGCAGATTCAATGAGTGGAAAATCAGATCAAGCAAGTTACTAGGAGGGTTTTGCATTTTTTTTAGGGGCTTGAACAAGAATAAGAGATAAAATTTCATTGCCAAGATAGGGCGTGGGTATGAATTCATACCAATGCTTCTCAGTGCTGGGGTAACTTGGAAATCAGTGAGATAACTGTTGTAATTGAAAAGTTGATTAATACCTGAGTAAAGTTCTGATAGCTACAGTCAGTTCTCCTGCAGTGTCAGCACAGAGTTTCTCCTTTCCCATCTTAAGTTTGCCTGCTTTGTGTGCAGATGGTGGTTCATTGCACACCATAACAAATATTCTCATTTCTGTTTCTAGTCCAGCCCAAGATCTTGGGAAACAGATTGCACAAACTAGTCTGAAACAAGGAAAAGATCTTTGTTGTGGCAGATGGTGACAATGAGCTCACCTAAATTAAACAATGTTAGCAAAACTTGCAAATTGAGCTGGGACTTGTAATGCTGCTGCTAATTTTTCAGTTTGTGTTAACTGCTTTATTACTGCCTGAGTTTCAGTTGCTAGTTTTGAATTTTGCTTCTTTCTAATAGAAGGTGAGACAAAAATGCGCAGAACGTAGCCAGTCACAGTAGTTTGAGTCTGTTTTGCTTATTTAACTAAAGATCCAGTCTCCAACCCAGTTAGTGGGTAAGCTTCACCAGAGCTCTTTGATAAGTGTGGAAGTGGATAATACTTCCTGTGCCGGCCTCGACAAAGGAAAAAATAAATCAATAGTTTGTGTTAGGAAATCTACACTTACTGTCGTCACGCTTCTTCCCTTAAGCCACTTAACTGATGGAACGTAATGTCTTATTTTTGCATTTATTAGCTAAAGCATGAAACGTTCTTCCTTTTGAGTGACAGAGGTTCACTGACCAGTTCAGTTATCCTTCAGATCTCTTTCTGTGTCTAAATTTGGGCTTTTTTTACTGAATACCAGAAGGTAAGATTTGGGGAATTTTGATACCGAACTGATCGCCACCTTTGATGAGACTGGTAACAAAGTAATTTTCCTATTTGCTTTGAGCAACGTTCCCTTTCAGCCTAGCTTCATGGAGGATTCAACCAATAGTTTTCTTTTTCACCATCTTCAAATATGTAATTCTAGTTTGCTGATCTGCACTTAAGCAGCCAGTGACCTCCTTATATCCTGAGCATGACCCATCAAATGAGTCAGGCATCTGATTTTGGGGATATGTTTTTACAATACAGTTAAACATGACTTAGTAGTGTGTCCACGGAAGTAGAGCTGCTGCTTCCTTTGTGCTACAGCTTGTGCTTGTCTGGTACCACAGCAAACAGGTTGAAGTTAAACCAGTAAAAGTCTAACCTTGGCCAAAAAGTACTCTCTCTGGGCTCATTTTTCAGAACCATTTTACTGAGGCATAGGTTACTGTCAGTTCCTAAAACAGGATAAGATAGCTGGAAGGGGGGCTGCAACCATCTCTTTCAGCACAGCTGGCTATTAGAGTGGCACACATGCACTGTAAAAACTCACCATTTGTAGGTGTAGTTACTGTTGTTTCTGACAAGTAAGACTGTGTTCTTTGAATTGCTTAAATTTGGATAGTTTTAGTTAATTTTTTACTAATATTTTAATACAGATTAGTATCACTCGTTGAGACTTTAAAAAGGTTTTAACAGAACTGTTTCTTTGGATTTTTTTTTTAAACTACATAATCTAATCCATTTTTTTTGCCAAATTTTCACTTCTATCCTGTAGGCAGTTTCAATAAACTTGTTTTTCTCTGTCTCCCAATAGTGGACCTGTATTGTCATTGGCAATTAGTTCTAATGGAGAACAGTGTTTCAGTGGTGGCATTGATGCAACCATCCAGTGGTGGAACATGCCTAGCCCTAATGTGGATCCATATGATACCTATGGTAAGTACCTCTTAAAAGATAAACAACTCATGACCATTGTCTTCAACATTAATTTTCTGCTTCAAGCTAATTTGTTTTCTAGAGCTTTTGTGAAATGTAACTGCCATTTATCAACTAAATGGTGTGGTAAACATTAATTATTTATTCCCACTTGCATTGGTGACATATTTTTTATAGAACTGTAATGGGAAGACTGGAAATTTCTGACATTTACACAGTAAAGAAAAAATTAATTATAACTCTTAGTTTTTAAGAAACACACTTACTAATTTGAACCAAAATTCCAAATTTTTGAATTATTATTTATTTCTTCTGATAGGAAATTCTCAGAAAGCTAAGATAAGTACACTCAAATTCTATGTCCCATCTTTCTGATCTGCATCTTGGTTCCCATAACCAATGTCTCTAAAATAAAGAGGTGATAACTGCTTGGAAAACTGCACATCATTCTCCTGCCAGTGATGGTGATCAGCATTTTGTCTTTAGTGTAATTCTATGGGTGCAGTTCCATGATTGACTGAAGTTTGAATGAGACGAAGTCCAGATTTCTTCCTCTCCCCCTCTTGTCAACGTAATGAGTGAGCTAATACAACACTTGGGCTGCATAATCTGTGGCAGTGAGATGGGGAGGGATGGGAAGCAGTGCTGTCTTGCACCAGTTTAGGAAGACCACTCCACACTGTCGCTTAAAACCAAGGCTCATATTGTGCCCTTCTGCTAAAAATTTATTCAATAGTCTTATCACTAAAAATGGTCTGATGTGTTCATGCAGGTGGGACTGTTGGTGTGACTTTCGTGGGTCTCAAACAGAACTGTCTCTACTCAAGTGACAAAGCTATTTTTAAGAGAGAACTCTAATAGGATTTTTTTTATTCTCTAAAGCTTATTAGAGGTTTGGGTTGCAAGACTAACTTGCTTTTAACTTCCTGAAAAACTAAATTTTAGTGATTTATCTGACTTTATTCCTTTCCATTTATCTTTTTCTCTCACTTCTCTACTCAAAGTCTGGTAGAAAATAGATTAAAAACCCCTCTATAAAAGACAACTATGAAGTATCAGCAATAAGAAAGTAATGTGTTTACTGGTGCCACAACAGAAATAATCTTGTTTTAACTATTATGGTGCTTGAGAGTTTTAGGGCTTGCCCTTGTGTTAGCAGAGTAAAAACAGCATTAGGCATCAGTGTTTTAAGTGGAAAGTAGGTGGTTTTGCACCTTGTACAGAGCAAGGGCTGTGGCCATCTTTAAGATGGTGAATTTGGAGGGGAGAAGCGAGTGCCTCAGAGAGCAGGTGGTAACAAGCGTGTATTATTCTGGCAAAAGGGACATAGTTGTTTGTGGGGTTTTTTGGTTAGTTGGTTTGATGGGGGTTTTGTTTGGTTTTCTTTTTTCATGTTTTTTCTTTGTTTTTTGTTTAGTTTGGGTTGGGGGTTTTTTGGGTGTGGTTTTTTTGTTGGGTTGGTTTTTGGGGGTTTTGGGGGTGGGGGTTTGTTTTGGTTTTTTGAGAAAGTTGGCACTGATTGTGCAAAATGACCTCCTATGTAATGTTCTAGCTGTTGCTTAAACAGGAAGGGCTGGGGGTGATATGACAGTTTTATGTGGCATTTCATTTATAATGAGGTACAAGAAAGACTAATTTAATGTTTCTTCTCTATAAAGATTTTATTTCTGAACTTTTGTTTTTTTCCAGAGCCAAACGTTCTAGCTGGCACATTAGTTGCTCACACAGATGCAGTCTGGGGTCTTGCATACAGCGGTGTAAAGAATCACTTACTATCTTGTTCAGCAGATGGCACTATTAGATTATGGAACCCACCAGAAAAAATGCCCTGTATTTGCACTTACAATGGAGAGAAAGGTAAGTTTTCACAGTGGTTTTGAAAATATATTATGAGGCAGCTGATGGTGCGTCCAGGCTCATTATCTTAATTTATCAAAACTAAGTAACAGATCTAAAGGGAAAAGTTCTTTTAATGAAGTAATTCTGGTGTTGTAGCATTAAAGGGAGCAAATTTCTTCTTTAAAGTTTGAGTGTGAAACAAACTAAATGTTTAAACTGTCAAGAATTTTAAGTGTTTAATTCTTTGTAAAGACGTTTTTTTCTCTTTCTAGAGCATGGAATACCTACATCAGTTGACTTCATAGGTTGTGACCCTGCTCATATGGTGGCATCTTTTAACACTGGCAGCACAGTCATCTATGATTTAGAAACATCCCAGTCAGTGGTAATGCTTTCATCACAAATAGAATCTGGTAAGTAAGGCTCTTCTTTATTAAATATTCATCTTGGATGAGGTACCTTTATCTGAGCTTTATTATATGGTGAATTAAATGAAAAAGTTTTGCTCTTCTCCTGCGTCATGTAGTTTGAAAGTTGGTTAGATGCTTAAAGGTGCCTGGAACAGACATGATGGAAAAGATTGTGGATTAGCAGAATTTTGAAAGCAGTTAGAGATAGTGAAAGCAACGGGTTTTGTTCTCTAAGCTGAGGTTTCTCAAGATTCAGTTGTATGAATTGCATATTAAAAAATCAGTTTTCATTATATAGCCTTGACATGGAGGATATTAAGACAAGTAAATAAGTGATTTAAGCACAATATTAGTTCAGTGTAGAATTCTGCACACGTTGTGATTAAACGTTCTCTCCTGTGGAACTTCTAATATTAGAAATTCTCTTGCTACAAACAAGGTGCTATGATGATGTAACTTTTTAAGAATTGTATGGATCTGATTAAAGTCTAGATAGAGCAACCTTCTTTTCTTGAACCTGTGAAAATATTCCTTAAGGAAAACCTCCAGTTTCTGGTCATTCCTTTATCTGAAATGAGATCTCAAAAAGTAATGCAATGGTAGAATTTGCTTCTCCCCTCCAAGTAGTCCAGTTTACTTAGTGATTATATGTACAGTATTAAGTAGCTTACATAAAGACTTCAACACAGGTTACAGAACTGTGTAAAAGCTATATTCTAGGTAGCTTATGCAAAAACCAGCATTAATAGTGAAAAAGAACATCACAAATTAGAGAAATACTTTTCCTAGTTTGAGGAGAGAATCTTAAACGGAATCCAGCAAAATTAAGCACAGAAATAAATGGAAAAAGGAACACTAGCATATCAAGATAAGAAAATGTTTTTTAAATAGTATTCTAAAAACTTTTAAAGAGATTCTAAACCATTAATTGTTTCTTTAAGTTGAAATAAGACATAAATATATCCAACAGAGTCTCATGGGTTAGGTTGACTTCAGTTATTTGGATTCCTTCTCTGCCCCGCACCCCCAAGCTAAATATTTTTTGATGTGGAGATGTAAGAGGTGTATTCTAAACATACAGTATAGATGCCAAGTTTGTTTCTACTTGTCTAGCGCTGCCCTGCAGTACTTGGTTGGTTTTTTTGGTAGCTCTCTCAAGAATCTTTCATGTGTATAAACCACTTGTACAGCTTTAACCTTACCGTACATGGGCTAGAGTATACCTGGCTTAGCTGCACCCTGTAAAGCAAGAAGCTGTTATGTATTTATTAGGAGATTCATTGATGCTCTGCCTAAAATGTTATTTATATAATATTAGTTAATATAGTAAGATAAAGTGTAATGCTAAAATATTCTCATTTTAACTTTAATCCTTTCTTTAAGGCAAGTGATTTTTTTTATTATTATTTTCAGGTGTACAATCAAATAATCATATTAACAAGGTAGTAAGTCATCCCACACTTCCTGTAACTATTACTGCACATGAAGATAGACACATCAAATTTTTTGACAACAAAACGGGTAAGGATAAAGACAACCTGACTTTTACATATGAATATGATTAAGGTAAATGTGGGTGGACATGGGAAGAATCCATTTGTAGAAAACTTACTAGTGATGCAGTTTACACAAGAGAACTTTTGGTATTTGCAAGATTAAACCTCTTAAATACCTTTTCAATTGAATAGTGATATCCATTGCAATTGTGACTTCAGCAGTCAGAAAATACCCTCTCAAAACACGCAGAGATAGTTGTGAGGGACAAGAAGATCCTTTCCAGTTAGCGCTCTGCTAATTTATAGATTATGTCTGTCATTTTCTTCCTGTCTGCATCATTCCCATGCTTTTAACTCTTAAGCATGTATCAGTTACGTTTTTCAACTCTCAGTAGTAAAGAACATTGTTTAGTACCTATTAGGGCAAGAAATAACCCTAAAGTCATTGTAGTAGTAGAATCCTGTGTTATACTTAAGCTGTTGATAAGTTTATAAAACAGAAAAGGATCTGGAAAAAGGAAAGGAAATAGTATAGGGAAAAACTGCACAGTCTGTCATGACAGAAAGGTTCGAATAATTGTAAGAACGAACATATCTTTCCCGTTCATCAAGTTATGAGTCACTTCCTGCATTTTAGCCTAACAAAGTTGGAAGAAAAAAAAAAATTGGGTTCTTGAGTTTTTTGTTTTTAAAAGCAAAAAGCTAAGACATTTTTTCCCCTTCAGGAAGAACTGAAGATTTTACTAGACTTAAGAGCAGGCAAATTAAATTCCATGTGGATAAATGTGAAATGATGCATGCAAGGAAAAATAAACTTTATAGTATAAAATAATAATCACTGGGCTGACTATTCTTAATCAAGGTAAAACCTTAGTTATAAGAAGAGGTTGGATGAAAATGTTAGTTCGTCGCTTAGGCAGTCAGAACAGCAGAATGAGTGTTAGGAGGAAGGGAAGGAATAAACAATAAAAAGAATAATTGGTAATACCTTTGCATGGATTTTTGGTGTATCCACATGTGTACTTTGTGTTACTCCAGTCTCCCTTATTTCAAAGTGATATAGCCAAATTAAAATGTTTCAATGAATGGTTAAAAAGATGATCAGAACCTTCAGGAGCTTTTAGCTTCTTCAGGAAGAATCTTAGAAACTAAATAGGCTGAGGTTTTTCAGGATGATGATAAGATGATACACCTTTTTCATGTTAGTCATGGTCTTACAGGGATTTATTTGTTCTCTTTTCCCATGCATAAATTAAGGTTCAGTTGATAAGCCCCCAGCAGGTGACAGGTTCAACACATAAAGAGGTGGTTGTTCTTGTAATGTACAGTTAAACATTTTGGAACTCCTTCCAAAAAGCTTCATGAGATGCTAAAAGATTATATTGAGTCTGGGAATGGAGGCCACTGAAAAGAAATGTATTAAGAGTAGTTGAATGCAGAGATAGCACCCCTGGTTTGGACAAAACCAAACAGTTAATTATTAGAAGCTGGAGCGTATTCTGGGCAAGTATCACTTAGAGTTGCCTCGTTTTAATTTTCTTCCCTGGTTTATCACCAATAGCTTCCATCCTAGCAATGACAGAGTTGGATTGGCATTTGGTTTGACTCAGTAAGTCTCTTTCTACAAAGCTTCATCCACACTTTGTCCAACTGGGGAAGGTATTAGGACATTTAAGGGACTGAAAATTTAAGTTCTCACCCAGTCATTTTAGGATTGCTCTTGATTGTCATTGCTAGCAGTAGCAATGCCAGATGGATAAAAGAAGTGCTTATAACAGGAATGCTTTTTTGAGAGTTGTGTGCCATTTACCCATATGCTTATACAAGAGTCTGCAGTTGAGACTTAATAATTTCTAACAGAATTGTATCATTTGGATATTATTGGAATCTATGTGTGTGGTTTATTCTATATTGCATTTAATGGGAATGTTATTTTTAAAACAAAAAAATACTTCAGAGGAAATTCACTGTTTATTTTGCTTTCAGGTAAAATGATCCATTCTATGGTTGCTCACTTGGATGCTGTCACGAGTCTAGCTGTAGATCCTAATGGAATCTATTTAATGTCTGGAAGTAAGGGTTTTTTAATCTTCTGTATGCTCTATAAATTTTGCATTTATGAAGCACTTACTTAACTGTCTGACAAATCTAACTTTGTCATTTGTCTTTTTTTTTTTTTCTTGTTTTCCTAAACAGGCCATGATTGTTCCATTAGGTTATGGAATTTGGACAGCAAGACGTGTGTGCAAGAAATAACAGCTCATAGGAAAAAGCTGGATGAATCAATTTATGATGTAGCATTTCATCCATCAAAAGCATATATTGCCAGTGCAGGAGCTGATGCCCTTGCCAAAGTATTTGTGTGACACAGCAGAACAAACCTGCATCATAACAGCAGGTCTGTTTGGACAAAAAAGAGGGAATGCGTCACTGCCATCAATGATAAGGTTACCGATAAGACACTACATCTGATCTGCCTGGGTGAAGGCTCTTATGTGGGGCAGGTATAAGTTGGTGAGAAGTCACCACATCTTGAACAATGTCAGGCTCATTCATTTAACTGTAATTACTGTATTTGGGGGGGTGGGGAGAAATACAAAAAAGAAAACCAGTATTTGTAGCCTTGACTGGATATGAACTGAGCGTATGTCTGTTCTTTAGGTGTCTTTAAGCAAACGTGGAGTCTGATCTTACAAAAAAGACTTTTATTTTGGACTCTGTGTGCTGCCTTAGGGTTAGGAATGTGGTGCTCTTGTGGGGGGAAGTGAGCTCCAAGAGTAGCTTTCTTTTCATCTCTTAGTAATCTTCTGTTTATCAGTTGAATGCCACAGATTCCCCTTTTAAACTTTTATTTTGCTTTAAAGAAAAGGAAATTTAACTTAAAATATTTTAGCATTAGTTGCACAAAATGTTTGGATAAAATTCTAGTTTTTATAAGTCTTTTTATATATTTAGCCTGTCACAACAGTGCTCAAGATTGTATTGATAATGTTTTTCTGCATTATAGAACCCTAAAACACAGAGATCTCACTGACCCGCTGCCGTGTAACCACACTCTTCCCTTCTTTTGCCTAATACAGCTCAGCTAAGTCCTTGCATAAGGATGCTAATTCATCATCATCGCATAACTGTCTTCATAAATAAAGGACTATAAAATGTGTTCAGATGAAACACAGAGGGGTTAACACCCCCAAATGAACTCTTTAAAAAAAAAAAAAAATTAATCTTGGCATCCTATCACTATGTGATATTTTGTACATCTTACTGTATTTACGAATTTATTTATCAAGGATTACCCATCTTGCTAATGGCCTATTGTTATTTATTTCACTTTTTGTTGGTCTTTATATCCTTTTATGTAGTGTGTTAAAGGGCCCTGTATATGTATTATGGCACTCTTTGAACAGTCTAAAATAGATGAGAAAATGGGACATTTGATAATTCTAAAGTTGCAAACCAATATTTTTTTTTTCCTCTGGTTAAGTACCTGGAGTGGAGTTGATTCCAAAAAAAAAAAAAAAAAAAAATCTTGTTTCAGAACTTTTGGAGTGAAAAATATTTTTATTTGCGTTTCAAATAGAGTACAAAAGTAGTTGATTCAAGATTCATAAATCTGCTGTGTTTTGACTAGTTATTCCCTGCTTTTATTTTATTTTCAGATGTGCTTCAGTTTATGGTGTAACTAAAGATTTTGTTTGTGTAATGCATGATTAATACAATAAAGTATTTTTTCTAGTCTTCCACAAAACTTTTCTGATCAGTTTGCGAGTTTTGATGAGTTTTGTAAGGTTTCTGTTTTACAAACTATGAATCAGCAAATTTTTAAGATTGTACCACATAGCAAAAGTACAGCTGTTGAAAAATAATGTATATAAAATGCATATAATAAATATTAAATGGTGTACCTGTATGTTACTGTTGGCTACATTATTTTGTGTTGCACAGTTTGAAAGTGTCATTCTATAAATTACTAAATTAGGTCTAAATTTTAGCAAAATGACCTTTTGTTTATTATGCTTACAATCTGCTTTGCTTTTGGAAAATTGTAATAGTTGTCTGGATGTCAACCAACTGTTCAGTTTCAAGCAGCAGTACCCACATATAAGAACATGTTTCCACAATATTTTTAAAGATTTTTACAAGAACAAATTGAAAATTGATATTCTTAGAGCCTTTATAATAAAGTTATAATCACACTGTTTTTTCACTATCTCTGTATATGAAGTGATTCTCAAGTGATTTAGGAGCCAGGAAGATACTCTGGTTTTATTTTAAACAAACAAACAAAATTTTAAATGCTTAAAATTTGCCCATATGTCAGTTGTTACCTATTCACCTTTGTCCATTTCTTTTACAAGTCCTGCGATAAAGATGATGTGCAAGAGGGCAGTCTTTTTGCAAACGGCTAAGCTGCAGGTCAGCATTTAGCTACTGTCTGGTGAGTCACTTTGCTGAAAGTGTATCAGCAGAAACAGAATACCACAATATGAATCTTAGATTTTCATATAAAAGTAGTATGCTTAGGTATAAATTACCTTAAGCTGGAACATGTTCCTGTAAGTGGTTGTAACTGTATTGTTCCATGTAAGTTTCCAGTTTTGCAGTGAGAATGTATCTCATGCCATCTCATGTCAAGCAAATTAGATTTTAAAAAGAAAGGAAAAAAAGGTGCTTATGGTAGGCAGAATACTGCAGTTATATTCTGAAATTAATTTTGTTTTAATAATAATAATGTTGCGTTGTTTGAAATGTTACAGTAAATTATAACTGTATTAGAAATTGGAGAATTTTGTCCTTTATCATGAAGATTGAGGTGAGGCCTTTCAGTAACTGCTTGTAGGACACTAAGACTTTACTTTTGAAAGTAACATGCAGCTGATTTGCACTTTTTGTTCCTTCCAGTCTAAAGCATTCAACTAATCAACAGACAAGAGAGTATTTGAATTTTATTGGAAGTAATTTCATAATCGCCTTTTCTGAAGCCAAACGTTGTTTCTGGCAGCTTTTCCAGACTGCTGCATTTTAATGCTTAAATGAAATGTGATTGTTTAATAAACATTGCCATGCATAACATTTACCTTTTTTTTTTTTTTTAATTGTATTAAAATTGAAATGGTAAAACAAAAAATATTTGCTTATTTTTCTTAATTGAAATCTTAACGGTCATCTTAGTTCACTAATGCCTAGTGGATTAAATGCTGTAGTGAGGCTTCGCTTACTGAATACTGACAACAATCTCTAACAGAGTCTTGGTTTATTTATTGTGGGGTATAACGTGCTAAAACCTTTGGGTTTTGGGTTTTTTTTAGAACAGAAGAGCTGTAGTACTGGTGATGGAGAGAAAAAATTATAGTGCTGAGATGAATGCTTTCATTTAGCAAAAACACCCCAACTTATGAAAGGAGTGATTTACTTCTATTTTGTAAGACCCAAAGGACTTGTGCTCAGAACCTGAATGGAAAGATACCTAAATGTGTTTAATAATACACATTTAGCATCTAGAGTACAATTGGTGTAACAGACTTACTCCTCATACTGCTTGTTGGAACTGTTTTAAGCAGATGAGTGGTGACTGTAGTCCAGCATCTTGTCTACGTAAGTATCAAATACATCTGAAAAAGGGTGTAACAAGCCCTGATCAAGAACCTTCCCTAATTTAGAAATCCTAGTGAAGAATTTATTTGCCAGGGGGTAACTGGTAGATTTTCCTAGTGGAAAAACTCTATGGGCTTGAGGATACATTATCAGAGGCTGTCCATTTCTCCTATGTTAACTGATTTATTTTAAAACTGATGGCTCTCTGTGTCCTGACATACTCTTACTATTACGTGCTTCCCTAGAGCTTCAGTCTCAAATCAGTGGAAAGCTTCTTGGTCACACAGTGCTGACTGCTCTTCCTTCTAGCCACAGTGTCACATAAAAGGTGCCTCAAACAAATGGATCCCAGTTGAGTTACTGGGGTTTTTTTGCAGGGAGGCTAAACACACAGATAAAGGTGGTCTACACAAATCCTGCTGGGAAAATGAGTGCAACTTCTTTTCCTCCCAGAGAAGGTACATGGTATTGAAAATATGACTGACCTTACCTTTTAGCTGTGTTTGGTTTCACTACAGAGAGTGTGTGTGTGAGTGTGTGTGTGTGTGTATTTTTATGTTTATTTTTTAATAACTTTTTTAAAAGGAAAAAATTAGCAAAACCAGAAGGCTCTGGAATTGTTTTTAAATGGTGCGTCTGAGGTATGCTTGAATGAAGGTTTAAGTTCTGTATTTAATACTTGCTTTGTTGATACTCAGAGAATACACATCCTTGACTCCTATGCAAACTAAATGGCTTATATTAATAGATTTTTTAAAAACTAATTGTTCCAGCTACAAAAATTATAAATGTCATAAAAATACATTGCTTTGTTTTCTAGTTTTAACATAGAACCAAATTTTGACTGACTTGATAATGGGAAGCAACATGCTTTCTTCTTAGTCCTCCGTCTTACCTTTGTATCTTAATGGCCCCCCACAAGAGAAGTCATCTAGACTTTCTGAAAATGTGGATATAGCAAAAAAACCCTTCAATTTTTGAATATTTACAGAGTTTAAGGAAGATAATTTAACTCTGGTGAGATCCCTAGTAATGAAAAGGAGGCAGTGTGAGGTAGCCAAGGTCATAAGGCTCTTGTTGTCAAGAATCACTGAATCTCTGACTTCAGTGCCGTAAACTTCTCTGCTGAAGACAGTAAACTGAAAGTGTTGATGTGTACAAGTGTTAATGTAGATGCACGTCAAACTGAACAGATGTGAGTGAGGCTTTTGGGTTTTTGGAGGGTTTTTTTGTCTGGAACCTTATTAGGAAATCTTTAATTTTCTAATTATTAATTCCCATACATCTTGAATTTGATATTGTTAATATTTCCTCCTGGAAGGTCATGTCTGGTGTTCCAGCTGATCTGGTCTGGTTTTCCTGAAGCAAAATAACAGCTGAACATTTTTGCAAATATTAAAAGATTTTAAATTCTGTTCAGCATTCATTATTGCTGGCTGACTTCTCCCATCCTCCTCTGTCTCTCAGCTTTTCTTGTTTTGAAAACTCCAGAGGCTTTGAGAAACCTGTAGGAGGAAAGAGTATCTCGTATAAACGTTAGTTCGTGACTCCATGGGTGACCTTCAGACAGCGCTGTCCATTTGGACTCTTGAGAGGATGGGTGACTTCATAAGCTCGGCGCACAGAGGCTCGGGGCCCCGCTGCTGTGGCTGCGGCTCACCTGGCAGGGCCGAGGCAATAAGGGCCGCTAATGGAGCGGGGCTGTGGGGCTCCAGAGCAAGCTGTGAGTAGGCAGGGCAGCAA